GTTGTAATGTGACAAAATATGGAAAAGTTCAAGGGGTATGAATACTTTTGCAAACCACTGTATCTCCTTTACTGGCCGTAAAGTTTCCTGAAAAGGCCTCTAAAAGGCCCACAGACCACCAGTTGATAATCACAGTTGTAGTTTGTTTTGTGGCGCTGATCACGTTTTATCAGTGAGACAAGCAGCAGAAACGGCTCTTTTGATTGACGATGAGAGAGGTTAGACTCGTGTTTTATGTTTCGGTTGACTCTGTCTGCAGTTTGTTCAGGTGTTCACTCGCTCAGCAGCATCAGTGGACSCTCAGAGAGGAGGGAGCTTCCTGCTCCTGGACGGCAGCGTCAGCGGGGTCTTCACAGAGCTGGTCAGGTCTTCAGCCTCTCAGCCAATCAGATGTTAGCGTGAGTCACGTCCTCCGTAAYGAGACCTAACCCTCTCTGCAGGTCCCAGACCAGAGGATCGAGATGAGGTGGCGCTTCAGGACCTGGCCCAGCGGTGAGTTGTTCGCTCTCTGGTGCTGTGGGGTGCGTCACGCCAACAGCTGAGCTGGAAATGTTTGATGTCTGTGGTTCCTCCAACCAGAGCACTACGCCACCATCGTCTTGGAGCTGGTGGACGGAGGAGATGAGACGGAGCTGAGGWTGGAGTGTCGAGGAGTTCCTGCAGGGGAGGAGGAGACCACCAGGGAGGGGTGGAACCGGTTTTACTTTCAGGCCATCAAACAGACATTTGGATACTGATGGAGAGCTGAATTAACATCTGCCAGGCTCAGGATGAGACTTCAGCAAGTCTCAGACCTTTGTCCTCCTTGGGAAGAAGACATGTTTCTCCTAAAGAGGCGAAAGAAATCCTGCAGAACCACGTCTCTAATAAACAGAATGTGCTCACCGCTCAGTTGAACAGAACTAATATATAAATGTTCCTATTGAATAAATAACTCTGAATTAATTGGTGTTTTTCTGTTTGTTTTTTATAGTCCTCCTTTCTGTAAGTTTCAGGTGTTGGAATCATTTCCTCATATTTATAATTTTAAAACTAAAGTTTAAATTAAAGCCAGACTTGAGGCAGCCTTGAAACAAACTTGTTGCTGTTGCTGGTATGGAGGACYGACACTGACATAAATAAAAACAAAAGCAGGGAGGAAAACACTAGCTGCGTTTCCATTGACCATGAAAATGCACAAATTAGAATTTTGAAAATAAATTTGCTCAATGGAAACACGTCAATTAAAAAAATTATGTTTTTCGACAAAATGTTTTTGCGCTAGGATGAGGTGGTTTTTCRGCCGTATCGAAATTGGTGTTTTTCGCAAAACTGCAATGGAAACACTTTTTTCACATCACGGGAGTCACGTTATCAACAACCGGCTGTTTCTACTGGTGAAAAAGACGACGACGAAGAAGATAACAGGAAGTAGAAGTAG